GGAATGGGCACAAACAAAAGGGGAAGGCTGTATGAAAGAATCATGCAGGTAGGCCAAGGAAGAGGTCAACGCATCAGGACAGAGAAGTGAAAGCAATATGTATTGAAAATAGACGTATTCTTTGTTTTCATTTCAAAGGAAATGAAAACCAAATGTGAAGGACAAGAATTTATTGTTTCTGACTGTACTATAAAAAAAAATTGGCTGAAGAAAATGAGATTTACATACTGAGAAGCCAATTCTGATCCATCATTAGGAGGATCTAACTCAAGATATTGTTTATATCTTATTATCGTACTTGATGCCGTACACGTCGCATCAGTTCAAATATGTCTAATAAAGTGGTCATAAATAAGTCGCTTCGCCGTATAAGTTCCATCTATTATGCATCACCGCTGATGAGTCGCGTTTGTTACGCATCACCGTTGACTACCCAGAAACGTGGGCCGGCGTTGTGCCAAAAATCGATTGGCTGCCAAATAGTGGACGCGAAAGCGTGCACGGGAGGACTTTTACAAGAATTTAATAAGATTAACACTTAAAAACAATTTTTGTTTGCTTGAAATTATGGTAAAATGTGTCTCAGCTGAACTTTTCCTTAATAAATTCACTTTAATGGTCAAATCAGCTGCATTTCACCTGGGCGGCGCGGCGAAATGCAGCTGATTTGACATTTGCTCCAGAAGTTTCGGAGCGAGACAAAGGTGACTTTGTATGGCAAGCCAAGTGTCTCATTAATAGCCATTTTACCTATTAATGAGACACTTGGCTTGCCATAATAGTCGAGGGCCCTCTAGCAGCTGAAAATGGTAGTGTTGAATATTTTCCATGTCAGAATGAATGAAATGGTCAGATCTCAGACAAACATTGGGTTATAGATATGGGGAAAAAAAAAAACATATATTAGTCGCTTTGGGTGTATAAGTTGCAGGACTTGCAAATTTATGCCAAAAAATGTGACTTATACAGCAAAAAATATGGTAATATTGTTGGGTATTGGAGTTAAATATAATAATAAGCAGCAACAAGTATAAAAAGAACCAATTTTACAACGTAAGTATAATTATGTGCAACGTAAGCATTGATACACAGAGTTGAGAAGTTTTAAGGAAGTAAGAGGGTGCATGTCTACAAATGGCACCAGTAATAATATGAAAACAACTAATACAGTGGTGGACTTCAGGAGAGGGTCTAACCCTGTCCCTCCTCTTCATAGGAGAAGCAGTGGTGCAGGTGAAAACAGTCAAGTAATTGGGGCCTTCACTTGACCAGTGACATCATGTGGTGGAGAGGGTTCAGACATTTTTCACAACAGTCTGAAATGGGAACTGCTCTGAGGCTGACAAGAAGGTGCTGCAAAGAATGATTTCAATCAAACTTGGGTAATGATTGACAACTGCCTCCCTGCTAAAAGAGCCAGAGCTGACTGGTCTGTGATTTTTAAAGTAGGGCGGAATATGTAGATGAAAAATGAGCGGAAAATTTGCATGATATTACTTGTCTGTTTCTTGAGTTAAAAAGTTCTCACAGCAGCTAATATGGAGAACATCTGGGTATGAAAAGTGGATAAACTTAAAGGTGAGCGTAGGTTGGAGACATTTTTTTACCTGCATTTTATAAAATGTAGCAATGCAGCTATATTGTCAAGATGTCACAAGGCACTAAGCTACTTTACATATACAGTATTTTTTAGCTAAAGTGGAATAATGTAGATATATAATTATGCAGGTTTAATCAGATAAGAACCAATTCAGTGTTGTCAAAGTGACCTTATTCAAAAGTGCCCCCCCCCCAAAAAAAAGTATTTGAACAAATCAAAATAAACTGACTTTACCTTTATCATACAACACATGTTGTGTCTGAGTGAATGATCAAATTTTACAACTATGAACAAAAACTAAACCTGTTTGAACTTTTAACTTCTCGCATTATTTCTATATCCTATCCAATTAAACAGAACGTGCAGAAGAAGGGATGTAGACCAAACATGCACTGACTGATGAAGTGTGTCTTCAAACTGTGCAGGTTAGTGAAGCCAATATGTGGCCATGAACCAAAGTTTCCACTTGAAAAATCGAACAACTGATTGTATCAGTGCTGTGTTGAAAGGTTTCACTGAACAGAGTTCTACAGATGGACAGGAAGATTTAAAACATGTGCCTCGTGTCAATACGAGGGACTGACAGGTCTCGGGAGTCATCCTGCAGAAGTTTGGTTACTGTGTACTTCAAATATTTCACAGACTAATCTACTTGTGCTCCAAATAAAAACATTGGAAACATGTTGGACAGAAATTGTTACTTCGTTATAAACAATAATAAAACTTCTAATGCAAACACTGAAGGATGATGGAAGTAAAGAAAGCAAAAAAAAGTTCATCCCATGAAGTAAAATTCAAAGAGGACAGAAGTCGTGTCTTTGTTTTTTGACTAGTCTGCCAAACATTTCAGACTTTCTACTGGAATCTTCCAGTTTTTGTTGATTAAAACAGTTATGCAGCTAATTAAACAAATTGATGAGAGAAATACACACCAAACTTTTCAGATAATTGTACGACAAATGGTTTGTTGTTTAACCTTAAGTGAGAGTTTGAGATTTAAACAAAATGATCATGTTCAAGGAAAACAAAATGCATTAAAATGTAGTGTAGTGTAAAATGTAGTGTGTCAAAATGCTAAATACATTGGGTTTGTATTCATAAATGTTCTATGAAAACAAATAATAGCCAAGATTAAGTGTGAGAAAATAACCACTAAAACACCAAAGTTCATGCTCAATAATCCAGGTATAAAATCCAACAATCAGGTCATCTAGACAGTTTCTGTATCTTTTTGCTGAGACGTTTCGTCCTCCATCCGAAGGACTTCCTCAATCCGAGAAGCCACCAAACAAAACTGATTCCCACAAACAGTATACTTTATTGTGGGAAGAAAAAAAAACAGTTTGTTGGTGCTAAGATGGCCTCTGGGGCCCACCCTCTCCTCTGGGGCCCACCCTCTCCCTCGTCAACTCCTTTGAGACAGTCATGCCAAAGTGGTTAAAAACTCCAAAGTTCATGCTCAATAATCCAGGTAGAAAATCCAACAATGTTCAGTCAGGTCATTTGGACGATTTCTTTCTTTTGTTTTTGCTGAGATGATTCGTCCTTCATCCAAAGGACTTCTTCAATCCGAGAAGCCACCAAACAAAACTGATTCTGTTTTTTTCCACTATGGAGTATGCTGTTTGTGGGAATCTGTTTTGTTTGTTGGCTTCTTGGATTGAAAAAGTCCTTTTGGATGAAGGATGAAACATTACAGCAATAAAAAAAAGAAACCATCCAGATGATCTGACTAGTCATTAAAATAGTTTATACAGCTGAAGGCACACAGTGATACTTGTTAAAAGAGAAAAGTTCATACATTTCACAATGCTTGTAATGTTTTTAATTTGTGTGAAAAGATTATGATTTCGAGGACATGGCTTCTAAAGTCCAGCTTAAGTTAAGCCCCAATAGAGGCGTCTGCATCCTATTTCTAACATTTTCAAGTTGACAATCAGCAATTCTATGTGTTGATGCACAATCTGGTGTGGAAAACAAAACGACAAGGAAAGTTGAAGCAGGCCATACAGAATCCTGCACTTAAAAACAGGGAAAAAGTATCCACACTGTCATGCTGTTTGCTTTTTAGAAATACTTACATGCTGAGGTTATTTTATGATGTAGTCTTCTTATAATAAATTATACTAAAGTCTCTGATAGAAGTTCTTTGACGTCACTGCCCTGAAAGTCCAAACACTAAACAGAGAGGATAGTCTGAGCCCAGATATGTGACCTCAGCCTCAGGACATCATTCTTTCAGTTTAAACTCTTGGCCTCAGACACATTTCACCTCTCGGACTAAAGTCCTATCCCCCAGTCTCAGGGCATTCACACCAGGAGCTACTGTTTGTCCAGACACATTATGTGATGGAGGGGTATGGTAAAGAAGCATGGCTATGTGCTTGTTGGATCAGGCAAACTTTAGTGATAATGTTTCCAAAGAGTTCAATTCAGAATAAATTTACAGTTCAAGTAGTTGATCACTTTGTGGGTACATGTTTAACATAATAATCAAACATAAATGGAAGTTAGTAACATTATCCAGACTATGGTGGGTGGGGAAAAAAGTAAAGCAACTTATTTCCCTAAATATCAAAGTTCATGCTCAATAATTCAGGTAGAAAATTCAACAAAGTTCAGTCAGGTCATCTGGACAGTTTCTTTTTTTTGTTGAGACGTTTCTTCCTTCGTCCAAAGGACTTCATCAGTCCGAGGAGCCACAACAAACTGAGCCCCGCAAGCAGTACACCCAGATAGTGGACCAACCAGTTTGTTGGTGATAAGATGGTTTCTGGGGCCCGCCCACTCCCCTGTCGACTTCTCTGAGGCAGTCATAGCCAAAGTGGTTCAAAACAGAATCCTGATTAAGTCCTTTGGATGAATGACGAAATGTCTCAACAAGAAAAGAAACCGTCCAGATGAACGGACTGAACTTTGTTGGATTTTCTTCCTGGATTATTGAGCATGAACTTTGATGTTTTTAACCACTTTGGCTATGGCTGCTTCAGAGGAGTCAATGGGGGAGAGGGTGGACCCCAGAAACCATCTTATCACCATCAAACTGGTTGGTCCACTATGTGGGTGAGCTGCTTGTGGGACTCAGTTTGTTGTTGCTCCTCGGACTGATGAAGACCTTTGGATGAAGGATGAAACGTCTCAAAAAAAAAAAAAAAACATCTAGATGACCTGACTGAATTTTGTTGGGCTTTTCCCCACAAGTTACAGTGTTATTGTTGATTCTTAAGAAGTGGGAAGTTCTCGAAAAGAAATGTTCCTTCTCTTCACACTGCCATTTTGTGTGCAACTAAAGCAATAAATAAGCACATATGTTACTCTACTTTAGTAGGTTACAAAATGCAAAACAGTTATGCCTTATTTAAATGGAAAGACTAAAACAAATCAGAAGGAATCTTCTTACCTCTGGTGTAGCAGGATTGAAGGCTACGCTGAGCACCGTGTCTGAGTGTCTCTGAAGTTTGTGGAGGTAGGTGCTGCTACGGATGTCATAAACATAGGCCTGCAATAAAAGACATGGATAAAGGTTTGAGCTGTTCTTCTTCCTAATCTTTTTTGGCAACTACCTTCAGGAGGGGTCACCACAGCGAGCAAAATTCACAGGATTGATTTGGAAATTGTTTTACACCGATTGCCATTCCTGATGAAACTATGCTCAAACCTGCATCAATTGATTTAGCATTTGAGCATTTATAGACTGTGTTGTCCGACTGAGTGCACCATTTTGTGTTTTATCAATCCCAACCAAATGCTTTTAAAGCACATTTGTGTAAGTGTCATAAGCAGAGATCAAAACAGATGTGGAGATGTTTTTTTTACCAGTAGGCGACACGTGAGACTCTTGCAAATGTTTTGAATTATCTTCCTCGAAAAAAAAAGCTGTTTTAAGAGGTTCTTGGGAAGAGTGATCCCAATGGCATACAAATGTGCAATGCCTAAAAAGAGGGTAAAATACTGGAAGAAACAAATACATTCTAAAAATAGTTAAAATATAACAGCTGAGGATGACACATTTGTCATTTTTTATAAACAATAACTGAATTGTAAAGTGATGAAGTATCAAAACTGAACCACCTGACATATGTCTTTAGCAAAAAAGTATTACTTTTTTCAAGAAAGTGATCAATGACAGATTAAAAAAATGTAAAATAAGATGGTTAAGTAACACCTTTTTTCTCAGGTGATATACATCCATCCATCCGTTAACTTTTACCAGCTTCTTCCTTTCCAGGCCACGGGGGTCATTGGTGCCCATATCTAGCAATCACTGTGCGTGAGACAGGGGACACCCTGGATAGGTCTTCAGTCCATCACAGGGACACATAGAAACAAACAAGACAAACAACCATTCACTCTCTCACTCACACCTAGGGACAATTTAGAGTTACCAATCAGGCTAACATGCATGTTTTTGGTGTGTGGGAGGAAATTGGAGAACCCGGAAAAAACCCACACATGCACAGAGAGAACATGCAACTTCACCCAGAAAGGCCCCCGGCCGGGATTTTATCCAGCGACCTTTTCGGTAAAACACAATAGCTCTACCAACTGAGACACTGTGCCCTATTGCATTTATAAGAAATTAAATCATATTCCAGAAAAATTCCTTTTGGCTCATGCTTTTTGGAAAAAAAAGTAATACAATCTGGGCAGCCCTTTTAGAGTGTTCACCTTCTTTTTCCTTCATGATTGCTTTTTGATATATTAAGACAAGTACAGATGTGTATGGCTTACAGAAGTCTCAGGGCAGCTACAAATAAATGCAATGGAGCGTACCACGTCTACTCTTCCCTTTTCCCTGAAATGTTGGAGATGTCGGATGTCAACAGAGATGTTCTGAAATGTACATGCTGTGCTGAATCCCAATTATTAATAATAACAAGCCAAATGCATATATTATTCCTCTGCTTTCAACAAAGTCATAAAGCAAGGAAAAAGTGATGGAAAGGGAAGAGGAGGCTGCCTTCTGAAAATGTTTTAAAAGCAAGTGCATGTGAGGAAAAGCAATTAGAGTACTGCATAGATGTAAATGATGAGCTTGAGTCCTTCAGTGTCCAGATAAAAAAGACAAAAACAAATGGCTCTCAACTTAAACAAAAGTGAAACTACTAAAGATACCAAACTGTTTGCCTGCCGCTTTGGACCTTGATGAGATCTGGTTGCATTTTAATAGCAGCGTGAACTTCTGTGATGAAGTTCAGCAGCCGGATATGAGAAAACTGCAGAGCCACAGAAAGTGCTGGCAAACGGACAGGAAACTCCAAGTCTGGGACTGAAAGAAAGATCTGAGGAGAGAAATCAGAGGGAGTGAGGGGAGAGTACATTATGTATGTAAGAGATATGTATAATGTGAGGAGGTTAGACCATTTGGACTTTGTACACCACCGAGTAAAAATAGGTTGTGCTAGCACGGTGGTTAGTGCCTGTCAAGACTCGAGGAACCCAGATGGAGCGAAACCAGAAAAGACAAGACTTGGTTAGAAAACGTAGTGATGTTTATT